AGCTGCCTAGTGCCAATACCAAAGCCTCCTACCAAGCCCCATTGTCCTTTTTCAAGCGGTTGGAAATCTGACCTATATAGCATCTGACCCCAAAGAATGTCTGTTCCCAGAAACTCCCACTCACTTGCTAACAGACCAACTAGTTAATGAGTAGTTCACTACACTAGCAGTGTAAAACTAGTACCTTAAGTATGTAATTTACAAAAACAACTAAACACCCTTCAAAAGAGGAGAGGGGGAAAAAAAGAAAACACAAAGCAGTGCATTGTTTTTACTTCACAAAAAGCAATAGTAATTTAACCATTGCATAGCTTGTAAGAAAACACAAAGAATCATGAGTAATTCATGTGCTTGGAAGCCAGTGGTTAAGATATAAAACAGCAGCAATCTCTAAGGATGCTCAAAGAAACCTGTGGGCTTTACCACACAATTCATGCTTCCAAGCACATATAGAACCTAAGAATTGCCAGACTGAGGAACTTAATTGCCCATCTTAGTATTCAGTAGGGGACTCTGTAGTGCATCATATTTATAATATGCTGACAACAGCAGCTCTTTCTCCCCAGAGCCTTCAGACAACTGTCCAGCCTATGCCCTGAACACGTGGTATTACAAGACAATGTAATATAATTATATTATCCAATCCAAAAGTTCTCCCCCAATATACAACAAAAATTTATAGTTTAACTTACATTCCCGGTCTAAGTGATGTCTTACATAGAATTTCAGCATTCAGAATTCCAGCCATCTGAGCAACAGTGGGGCTCAGACCTCATACACCTTCTTTAAAATAAGAGATACAACATGAAATCTCAAGATATCATAAAAGCCAGTTGTTGCAGAATTGAACTCCTCCAAAACTGTTCTTTCATGATACACTCATTATAGGTACACAAGTTCTTATCATATTAAGAAAGAAAAATTCACAGAATAAGAAACTGTGTTCCTTTCCTTTATTATGATGTACCAATACCTTGCATACAACATGCAATTTATTGCTTATTGACATTATTGCATATATCAAAGGGAAAAAAAAAATCAGCCAATATAATTTTATGCAAGCTCCTAAACTGTTCAAACAAAATACAGAAATGCTTTACAATATCACTGAAATGCTAACAAATAATCCAGATTCGTTCTTATAATAAAAAGTAAATTTAAACCCATAATACTTAATAATTCACCTTACTATGATGGATTACTTTTATCACCAATCTTCAGAATTGTTTTTTTGCATTTTTAAGTTCTTGTGCCATAAGGATTGCTACTCCAATCAGGTTACATTACTAGTTGAATTTAATAATGCAATCCTGACATTTTGTGACAGTATTAGAATTTACTGCAAACCAGATTGTCAAGATTTACCAGAAATCAGTCTAGCAGAATCTACAGTTTTCATCCTTGCTCTGCACATAAGTTAGATAAACTCATCGAATTTCTTCTTAGATAGAAGATTCTATAAACATTTTCAAATTACAGGCTCCATTACTTATACCTAACTTCTAACTTGTTTGTTCCAAACAGGTTTTCTAATTTGATTTTATAACAGGTTAGCTGTGCTTATTCTACATAATCAGGTATCTGTCAATACTGAAGAAAACACTGTTTGGCAAATGCATGCTAGAAACAAACCCAGGACATTTGGATGTGTGCATATTAAGTGTGCAAATTATATAGGCGAGCTCATGATTAGCCCTTTTCCTCCCTTCCCCCTATGATTTGATGGATTTTTCTCGTGAAACTGGAATAGGATTACTATAAACAAAACCACATTGCATTCAAAATTTTGTATTCTGTATTACAGCTTAGTATTCATATTTAAATGTTGCTTTCAAATCTAGCAAAATTTTAAAAATACCAAAATTTAAAAACTTAGAAGACAATTTACATGCAACATGTTCCATTTGGGTGCAGATTCTCATATAGTTAAATATTTATAGGCTATAAAAGCATGTCCTGTCCACAAGACAAGTACAATGTTTGACATCCCACACATAGATTAAAAATCAAGATACAATACAGAATATTTTATTTGCTTTTATATTTTCAATTTCAGTAAGTAGGAAGTTATAAATAGCACACAATTATTATGTGGTTGATACCAAGCCATGCTGATCTCTTCATACTTCAATCTCTTAAAAGACACTTCTTTTACTTACAACTAGGTTAAAAAAATGTATATACTTCGTACTAAACAGATGCCCTCTCAGTGCAAGACATCACACAATGAAACCATTCTCAGAAGAAATTTTGCCAAAATATTTCTTATACCAAACAATACGATTTATTCTTCATAGCTACCTTCCATTTTTTACTGAGCAATAAAGTGCTTGGTTATTATAAATAGAACAAGACTTTCAAAGGAGGTAGCTAGTAGGAATTTTTAATGGGTAAGAAACCTTACCAAATGTTACCATCTGAAAGTTGGACTTGATGCTTTATCTCAGATCTCTAAACAACCAGGCAGTATGTATTTCATCTTCTCTGCCATAAAAACAACTTTCAAGTTGCTTTCAGAAAATCCTAAGAACTTCACCTAAGACAGATTTTATCCAGGTTTGGATGAATGTTAAAAGTTCATAAATATTATCACTATTTCCATCTGACTAATGTCAACCAGCAATGAAGTACTGTTCTTTTTCTGCCTGTATTCCACAGACAGGGAAATCTGACCATGAACAAACCTTCCCTCGTGGAGCTCCCTGTAGCCAGATAATGCTGTTGTACAGTAGGCTATTAATATATGAAAGGGGCCTGCAATACTTTTCAAAGTATTCTACACTTGCACTTTTTAATCTGGAAATTGTAGTCCCTTTCAATTTGCTTTATTCATGGCTTTCAGCAGCAGCCAACACTGCACCTGACCCTAAGATGGAGTAATTGTCAAGCAGCCCTTTATTTTCCTCTGAACGGCTCAGCAGAAGCATCACAAAATGATTTTTCAAACTTCTCTATTAAATGTCTTTTACAGAAAGCTTGTACATAAATATGCTTAAACACACTCAAGGCCATGAGAAAAAAAATCCTCTTCATACAGTAATCAACAACTGGTATTCCATTTTATACAGCTTGAAAATTTTAAAGAATAAAATTTCATTTTCCATCATGAACAGAGACACAAACACATAAACCTTTCTGCTACGTATCAGTCTGCTGTTGTCCCAACCACAGCAGCAGGAAGACATCTGGATCTCTATGTGTGCACTCAAAGTCTCCTCCTCCTCTCCTCTTTAAACCTGCCTGAATGCATTTGCTCACTTGTGTAAGCTTTTACCCTTAGGTTGTTAGTTCTGCAATATGAGTAACCTTCTCCCACAATATTTTAAGTAAAGATGGAAGTCATTCTCTTCCAAACACTGCAACTAATTTAACTCTTAAAACTTTAGTACAAAATTTGGAATTAAGAATTTGATATATCAAGTCAGCTCCCCTCATTTTCCTATGCGTATTTTTCATTATTCAATGGATTATATTTTTTAAGCAATTAAGTTATTAAATTATGGAGCTCACTCAAGACAGCATGTACTTATAGAGGTAGAGTAGGCTTCAGAGATGTAATTCTTTCCACTGAAGAATTCACACAGATAACCCATACAGCATCCCTGTTGTGTGAGACTCTCCACTGAAATCCACTGAAACACTCTCTGAGAAAATAAGTATTTGAAGTATACTTCCTCTCTCTGCAAATACTGATTCCACAAATCAGTTACAGAACACCTGACCTACCATTTTCCTGTAGAGTTCTGAAAGTGGTATTGACTTATCTTTTGATGAAAAATTAAAGCCATAAAAAAGGGAAACTTGCATTTCTACATACAGCCTAACCAGTACAAATAGTCTCTTCCATGATCAGCAAGCTAATTTTGTCACCTGGTATTGAAGAAAGGAAAAGAAAAGAAAAACAAGCTATTTTTTACAAGAGTCACTCCTTCCATTTGATATGCCTACAGAAAAGACACCTGGTGACATGCCAAGAGTCTGCTTTTACAATGCATCTGTTAAAAATAGAAGTTTTAAGCCACTAATAAGATATTACATTCAAAAGCATTTGTTACGGTGCTAATATCATGCATTTACTTTTTTTGCATAAAAAAAGCAAAGACACAAGCTTACAACATTAAATTTTATCAATATTTCACCATATTTTGAAAATTAATAAAGTGCAATTTAAAAAATGGGTGCCACAGCTATCTAATTTGCTGTATTATAAGCTTTTAATGGCAGGGGAAAAGTGCCCTATATACTACTGTATTCAGTACATCACAACTTGCTGCCTGTTTACTAAAGTCTTTGCTGAAACCACAACTGTTAAAAGTTCTTTCCATAAGAAAATTTTCTTCTGATGCATCAGGACATAACTTTTTTTAATAACTTTTTTCTTAATTATAAAATTTAAAGCTAATGTATTGCAAAATAATTTTTTTATTTTGTGCAGAAATCCAAAATAATAGTTGTTCAAAAATAATTATCCCACTGCCCTTTAATCCTGGATTATTGGCCAAAGTGTAGTATGCAGAGTTTTGGATTGTTTTTTGTTTCTAAATCTAGTTTTAACATCAATTTTATTATAGCTTTACTTACTTTTTTTTCCCCTCCCCATCAACCACAAGTCTATCTAGAAGTGGAAGAAGTAGACCATTTTAATGAATGGTCTCCACTGAGAATAAAATATTTAAAATACCTAAATATTAAAATCAATGTAAGAAATTAAAAATTTCAGAAACTTTTCATGAATTATCACTCTAAGAGTTGCTCCAAATCACCTTCTCATTTTATTTTTTAAATAAACAAATAAACTGCTTTAACAGATTGCTACAATAATTGGGATGTGTGCTTAACTGTCAGTGAAAATGGACACTTTTAGCACACCTACACCAAAGGGAAAAAAACCCCAGAAGTTAATCAGTTGCAATTCTGGTTAAAAGAAGCAAAACAAAACAAATTTACACATAAATATAGCTCTTGAAATAATTTTAAATAAAACATAACTTAGAATTTCCTCAAATTGTATTACAAGTGACATTTAGGACTATTCCTAGACTGTGAGATTCTTCTCTGATGACCTCCAAGCCTTCAAGTTCACAGACAGAGTAACTGAGTATCTATTGACAAATGTGTGGTTTAAAAAAAAAAAAAAATTATGTCTACAATTGTGTCTACAGAGGTCATCTGTTCCTTCTACAAAATTATCATAGAGCTTTAGAGGAGTTTGGCACAGTTAATTCGAGTGTTCTTAGTCACACCTCAGATTTCTGACTTGATTAACGAGGAAAATGTGACAAAAACCCTCAATGCTTCATATCAAATAGGTCATTTTTGTGGTAAAAGAAAAAGGTATTACTTACACATCACATATACAGAAGATTTTTACATCTTTGCAATTAAACTTTGAATCCAAATAGCCAATGGTTAAAAATACTCTGAGAAGAATTGCAGCACTTCTCAAAGGTAGTAGCAGCAAAGGAAAAAGCACTTTAGTAAGAACTATGCCATTTCCACACATCATCTACCATATTATCTTACAAAAAAAGTTCCATGGGGAATTTAGATGCACTACTGCATGTAACCTAGCACAGCAAATGGGAATCCTTCCCATCAAAGTGAGACTTTTAACAGCTTTTAAGATATCATGTGGTCTTATAATACAGCATTTTAGATAAAATTATTTCATAAATTTCCCAAAATGGTTTGCATTCATATAAGGCAGAACAAAAAGCAGTAAAAGACTTCATAGGATCAAAGCCAAATTTTTAGCTTTTCTTGCAAAAATTAAAAAGTTGTCAAGAATGAAATCTTGATTGTTTTTCCTAGAAGAAAACATAGAAACGTGCCTGGAAAAATTGCACCATATCAGGAGTTAGGGGAATTTTTCATTTTCTAAAAAAACAGATATGTCAGTATTCACTGGATTTATAAAACATTTTAATCGGAGAAACCTGAGAGAAACACTTTGAACACACTGGTGGACAATAAGCAAGTAACCAGTCTGCTCCTTTCTAATTTCTGATGCTTTCAACTGCTTAGAACAGGCATGTGGAACTCATCTGTGTGAGCTTTTGCTCTTATTCCTCACTGGACAGGATCCGCAAAGCGTGGCCCTGGGCGTGCAGGCAGTGTGGCTAGGGAAAGAGTAAGGTCAGTACAGAGGTAATACCTTGTTTCCATAATAGGAGCATTCCATGGCAGAAATGTGCACTGTTTCAGTGAACCCAAATTATTTTCATAGCAGAAATTTCATTTTATGTATGATTTCTAGGCAGATTTTCCATTTCTGTGAGTTTTTGCTTCCTCCTGTCCAATAAGACAAATGACCTTGCAGCATCCTTTTGCAATTTTGACCATCCACATCACATTCATAATATCCAAGACAACACTTGAGATAATCCAGGCGCTCTGGGCTGCAAATCCTAATCTGTGGAAACCTTCTGTTCCAAATGAAGAAATTACATGGCTGTAATATACAGGCATGACGGCAATCCTCACCACGAAGAACACAATTGTCATCAGCATACCATTGATGATGTTGGCCTTTGAAGATTTGGGATATCCCAGTACTTCAAAAAACCACCTGCAAAAGAAGTGTTCACAAATACCAGGCAGACTTGAAGCCATCTCATTAAAAATTATTTTACTTCATGTTTATTTTTAATTCATCGTGTATTAATTGCTTCTACCTTTATAATTTCTAAATTATTGCACTTTGTTACAAATCCTTAGTTACAAATCCTTCTGCTTGGCTGCACTTTTTCCCCACCACATAAGCAGTGTATGATATCCAGTATACTGCAGAATAACACATAGAAAATCTTGATATGACTTGTGAACCAGTTGACAACCCATGTGCATTTCAGTGACTATTGCGTAATATACAATAATAAAACCATCTTTTAAAATCATAACGACATATATATTATTTGCTATTATAGTTTATACCAACAGCAGCTAAAATTCTTTGTCTCACTGAAAGCAACTCTAAAATTGCATTTGGATTTGGTAATCCAGATAGAGCTCTAGTTTCTTGTAATTGGGATTTTCTGACTGCTTCTGTTCAGCTGAAAACCAGAACATTTTCAGTGAACTCTTGATCATGTCAGAACTTGGAACGTTATCCAATGCAAAAGATAAATCTAAAAACTGCCTCTCCATCTACTGCTGGGTCATAAATGGTCTTTTAAAAAGTTCTTGCATATTTATTCCTAGATCTAGTAGACAGGCATAACTTATCTACTGCCTAGCACACAGAACCTGAGAGTTGAAAAAGGAACAATAAACTCCTCTAATCCTTTGTCATTCACATTTAAACCAGAGTAAGCAAGTAAAATTTGTGCAGCCATGGCAGGCAGGACCAGAGCAAAATAACTTAAATCACTGTATTCATAATGGAGGATGGGGAAGAGAAGGAAATAATGAGTTTTTCTCCAACAAGATACAAGGCTAAAATGATTTAACAAAAAACAGTTCTAAACCTGGTTTTTAAAGTAATTTTTAATTTAATTACCTACAGATTACAAGTTAGGTAATTATAAATACGCTGAAAAGATTTTCCAGCTATCCAGGTCTAACAGAAATATTCTAGAAATTCATTAAACATGCAACTAGGACAATTAAAGCCCAGCCACTCGAGGTGGCAGTCCAGCCTGGAAGCAGGATGCCTCACCACAGAAACACTTACTGATATGATGAAGAGAAAGACCTGATATGTTTTGGTCAGATTAAGACTCAAAGCCTTTACTTTCAATGATATATACAATACAGAATCAGAAAGTAATGTAAAAATGGTTTTCAAACATACTGCAGCATGCCAGTATAGGTAATTGGACATCTGTTTAGCAACTTCCCTTTCCCAGCAAATTAAAAACAAAAAAGGTCTGCAAATAACACCATTACAATTTTACCCACACAGTTCAGAATTAATTACATAAATGCTGATACTAACATTAAAAGATCTAAATGCTTGGCATGGAGACAATCTCCAATTAGAGATCCCTAACAACACAGACAGGAAATACACAGACAGTTCTAAGATTAGAGTATCTTTTTATATTTTAATAGGAGCTTTTTTGGTAGACTAAGAATGCAAACAAGAAACATTATGTAAGTCGTTATCATTATCCACTGCTTACTTTCTTAAGGGTCTGATTCACTTCAAATTTAATGGAAAAAAAATCATGCACTAATGAGATGACATCCCTTAGTGCAAGGGACTTTATTATCTCCTGCAGCAATTTCTGCTTTTCTGAGAGAGTGCTAAATATCAGTATTCAAAGACCCATAATTTCACCATAGGCATTTAAAAAGTATAACATAAATTACTTTTAATTACCACAATTCCACAGTCTGAAAGGTAAGCATCAGTGTAGGAACCCACCTGAACCCAGGATGGCATCTTGTCTGGTAGAAGCTAGGACAGCCATTCACTAGGACATGAATATCAATAGAAACCCTTTTTTGTTCATTAAGTTTGATGAAGTGTTTGTTTAGTCTTTAGTTTCTCTGAGTACACAGAGCACAGGCTACAACAGACTGATATCTCCCACTCAACTGCACTGGGGCAGAGGACAGCAGCCTCTGGAGAACTCCATTATCCCTCCCTGTCCTCCTGTAAGTTCCAGTTTACCAAACTAATGTTCAAAAGGGGCCATAGTATAATCTTTTTTATTGGTAACAACTCTGAGGCATGCTACAGTGTCATAAAACACTTCAGAGATTACAGTCACAATGCAGTAATGGGCAACAGCCTGGCTGCAGGAGGAATAGTTTCTATTTGCCTTATC